TTTGGTAGTTTAAATAAGTATCCCTTCTTACAATCCTCAGGTACTTTTCCCTCTTTCCACACCTTCTCCAGCAGTGGCGTCATCAAGTCCACTGTTGTCTCTGGGTCTATTTTCAAAGCTTTTGCTGGGATTCCATCTGGTCCTGCTGCTTTTCCAGCATTTATCATCTTGATTGCATTCAGGACTTCTGATTTTGTCGAGGGGTCGATGTTCACTGGTAGTTCTGCTTCCGTTGTTGGTATTGTTGGACGCGTTATAGGTGGCGAACGATTTAGAAGTCTTTTGAAGTGTTCAGCCCAGTGTTTTCTTTGCTCCACCCAGAAGCAAATCAATTATTCTAAAATAAAAAATGCACAGTGGTAGAAATGCATCAGTGTACTTTCAAATCGGTAGACGTGTTCGATGGAATTATAAGATTATGTCATATGAAATCTTACAGTGAGAAGGTTGTCGTCCCTCCTATATATAGCATACCATTCTAGACATTCGAAATGGCTGAGGAATTACTCTCGGTGTATATTTCTTCAGAATTTTGGATGAAAGTGGTCGTGATTAGAAGTGAAAAGATAAATTCGATTATATTTTAACTCACAGATTTTTCACGGTATTCTGATTAATTGGGTCCTTCATTGATTTTTCAACTTTAAGTAGTAACGTTTCAACACGAGCATACAAGACTAATCAAACAGCATCGAAAAGACTGACCACTATTTTACCATGGTCTATTAGCGACATGAAACGTTTTGAAACCAATAAAATAGTCTATCAGAATGCCATCTGAAAACTGCAAATACTCAGTACAAATTATAATCAGCCTTGTATCTGTAATCACTTGTAAACATCAAGAAATTCGTACCCATATTACTGCGTCGGTGATTTGTGTCAAATATTGAATAATGTGAAACTCGCAAGCACACTCCCACAGAGCACTGCTTAAGTGAGAAACGATATTCTGCATAGTTCTTTGATGAATCGCTAGCCGTTCCCATTTACATAATAGAGAATACTTTCTACGAATGAGTCACTGGGTGCTATTCATGAAGATCACGCACTGTAGAATACTTCAATGTGGATATTTCAATGAATCATCATGTCTAATATTCAATTATGACTAAGTTATGAAATTTAATTTGACTACTTTTTCAGGACAATATTTTTTCAGCATTCATGCTGTCTTATGTACGAATATTATTTTCAAACAAAATTGAGGATACATTATGTGTTTCAAGGGAGACAGTATTTCTCATAATTTATTGAGAAATCCCTGATTATGTACATTCGCTTGTTTGTCATATGTAAATCATGAAATACAGAGTGCCGAATTTCTGTGAATATTTTGTTATTCGTGCTTATGTTATTTTAGTCATTTAATCACCAGGTTTTGAATTTTGAATGAGTAGTGCTTTCATTCGAAAACGTGTAGGGCAAACAATAACCTTTACGATGACAGAGATGCTTGGTAATGACGACACGCAGAAAGTTTTGTCTTGACTAGTTATCTGTACACTTAAAATTTAATGGATAATTTCACACGTAAATACAAGAGACACGAGATCTATTTTGTATTGTTGATATCATAAAAAAGTAGACAAATAATCAAGGGTGATCACTATCATATAGCTTCATTCATGGATTTAAAACGTAAAATGATATTCAGATAAATTCGAATAGTGAAATCATACTTAACTGTTGAATTTAAGGAAACTTATTAACACTTTATTATATTAGATCTCCATAGAGACAACGAAATTCGATTATAGGCAATCCAGGAGAAGTGGATAATGTAACTGTGCATGAAGTACCATTTTACCATTATAATTACTCTAGTAAAATGCAGGAAAATTATCATTCTCAAATATATCTGTCTCATTCTTCAAAACCTTAACTAAAAATTCAACACATAAATGTTTGACTTAAATCTTAAGTCAATAATAAAACAAGTGAGTTTAAGTAATGAAGCATTTAAAAAGAAGCATGATTCAAAGAAATATGAAGAGAAGTAACAGAATAATGGCGTCAACTTAATTCATCTTTGTTGTTACGTTTGTATTGCTTCGAGTCAATGTTCAATGGTTAATTGCGTAAAACTGGTCAGTGATTACAGTTGAGCATCACATTTTGGAGGAAATGTTTCTTAGTGAAATAAAAAAGCATCTTGATCAGTGCGTGCGTTGTCTCAAATACCATACGTCATGACGAATAAATTATCGTTTATTCTTTCATTTAGGCCGTACCTCCTCTTTTACATACGTCTACTCAGCATATTGTCTTTTACAACTGCGAATAATGATCCTTAAATTTGAGTCTTTGGTACAGTGAAGTTGAATTACCATGAGCAATATGCTTGAATGCCTTTTTCTTTCTCCTGAACTTAGCTTTATGAAAAAGCATAGACAACCATGACATGTGTCAGTGAATTAAATAACACCAATTTTAACAGGTGAAGGTACATTGTGTGTATTTGCTGTAAATTTTCACGGAACTAGGATAGTGTCTATTCCTCAGTAATAATTGTGATGTGCAACATCTTGTAGACACTGACCATGCATATATATAAACATATATATTATAGTCTACAAAGTCCGACAAAGTGTGCCGAAAGGGACGGGAATACATTTGATTTTATAGCAGAAGCGTTGGCAATACATAACAAAAAGACAAAACATTTTAGACAGAAACGGTCCAGGCGATTTTTGTCGTTTCCCCCATAATGAAAAAAATTTACTTTGTTAAAGTCTCACAGTTTTATACACTAATATTTACTGATGTTTCGAGCACAATTTATTGCTCATAATCATGTCAAGGTATTCACACAGCTTTCCAAGGTTTGTTTATATAATTCCATTATTTATCATCGCTTGGTTTGATTGATAGTAGTATTTTCCATATATACGGTGTGATTGATAAGTCATTCCAATTGCATGTGTTTGGTATTAGTCAACGTAAGTCTTTACGTCCAAGCTGATATATTTGGTCATCTCAAAATATTATTTCTGTAGAACGCTAAATTAATAAATTTTATGAGTTTATATTTGTAACTCACACATACAGACCCATCGTTAGTTAATATTTCGAAAGCACAGTGAATTCTGTGAGTTGAATATAATTCATTTTCTCTGTATATCCTGAATATTCTGCATACATCATATGCATCAATACGGACGTCCCACCAGGATGGCTGAGCAAACAACAATACTCGTGTCCGATCGCCCAATTTTACATGAATGTTTACCTATGGTTTTTGCGAAGACATTCAATAAACGCATCGGTAGCACAATGGTTAGGACTCTCGCCGACCATGTACATGGTCTGAGGTTCGATCCCCTGCCGACGCACACCCACTATCTATGGTAAGCCTGAAAAATTTGGGCTACCGATGTCACATGTCAAAAAATTCCATACTTGTATCGAAATTACGGTGTGGAATCAAGCTCTAATCAAAAAAAATTTAGTTATCATGTAGCAACAGAAGACAACGGCCAGGCAACAGATCGTTTTATTATGAAAATCAACACGTATTTATACATATTTCACATACATTATTATAGACAAGCGCAGTCATCTGATTGGTTGTTTATCAGAAGTTAGGCAGACAAACGCAGGCTTCTGATTGGTTGTTTCGGGATTCCTCGACAAATAGAGTTCTCTATCTGCGAATCACAATTTGCCACGTTAACTTTGCTGTGATTGGTTGTTGAATCAGCCTTGTTCATATTTTCTCACGGCCCATATTAACGTAGATTAGTGTCAACCAATCGGCTAGCAGCCTGCTCTCACCACACTCGTCCCCCGTCAAATAGCTTTGTGCGCAGACGTTCCGACCTTCTGGGTGCTACATCCCCTAGTTGAGGATTGTTACTGATAGGCTTGTCCCACTGTACCCATCTTTGGAGCTGACTGGCGTTAACTCGTTTCTGTTTATCACCTCTTCGGATGGTATATACTTGACCCCGTCTTTTTGTAATTGTGTACGGTCCTTCCCACTTTGGAAACTGTTTGCCTGACCCTGTCGAACGTTCGTCAGTATTTCGTCTCACACTTTCATATGCTGCTTTCACCCGACCTCCCAGCAGCGTCCCAAGTAGCAGCTCCATCGCTGACAGATCTTGAACGCCACCCAACTGCGCAGAAACCTTGAAGTCCTGCCCGAAGTTCCATATGTCTCCATCAAAAACAGCAGGGCATAGGCTTTCCATTTGTCGGTAGGCAGCGACACCAAATGTAGCAACAGAAGACAAGGGCCAGGCAACAGATCGTTTTATTATGAAAATCAACACGTATTTATACATATTTCACATACATTATTATAGACAAGCGCAGTCATCTGATTGGTTGTTTATCAGAAGTTAGGCAGACAAACGCAGGCTTCTGATTGGTTGTTTCGGGATTCCTCGACAAATAGAGTTCTCTATCTGCGAATCACAATTTGCCACGTTAACTTTGCTGTGATTGGTTGTTGAATCAGCCTTGTTCATATTTTCTCACGGCCCATATTAGTGACCTAGACCTTAACGTAGATTAGTGTCAACCAATCGGCTAGCAGCCTGCTCTCACCACAATCATACTTGACCTTGTGATAGCGATGGATCTCACAAAATTTACTTGCAGAAATTGGTTCAGTATGTTTCATCGAATAAACCTCTAATCTAAAGAATTGGTTAAAGGAAAATGGTGGCACTTACAATCATACAAAGAATAAAAGTATAGTCGAAATAAGATTAACGCCGTCAAAACTCCATTATTCGTTAAGAAAGGTAAGATCAATATATTGAACAGTAAAACAACCACGAGTTAAAAATACCTCACGAATGGCACATTTGACTGGATTTCATTGGTGCCTTCGTATTGAACATGAACATAGAAAAATGTTTATTTATTTGTTTGTGAAGATCAAGGTCCATGTTTTTCCAATAATAAACTAAAAACAAAATACTAACGAAACGATACTCTATAAATGTTCGCTGACATGCTGATTTATGAGAATAAGAAGATTGAAAGCCATGATAAGTAAGTAGTGCGTGACAGTTTTGTTTTAAGTTTCAGTTTTATGTAGTGAGATCTTCGTCTTCATAAACTTGATTTTTGTTGCCTATATTAAATATATATGTATAGTTGAATGCACCATGCGCATTGTCTGCTTTCCATTTTACTTGGCATCTATGGTGAATGTTCTTGATTCCTAGTATATGTTATCATGTAAAAGGGAGTTTTTGTTTCATTGAACATCCTGTACACAATAACAGTTTCTTAGGGAAAACAAACGACTGGGAGCTGAAGAATCTGTGGAAACAGGACAATTAATGACCAAGAATTGTGAATACTTAAGTTATCACAAATAAGACAGTTAAGTGGAACCTTGATGTTTCCTTCACTAACATCCACGGTGATGTAATAGAAGAGTTACTTTTGCTGTAGACAGTTATCAATGCTACTGAACTGATAAATCTTTCTTTGATTGAAGTAATATGGTCGATATCTGCTCATCGTCTGATGTTTTTGCCCAGTAGAATGCGCCTTCGCTTTATCGAAGACCATTGAGGTGAAGCCCGTTTGATTTTTATTGCGTTCGTCAGATGAAACCCATGTTGTTTTGTGTATATACTTATGCTTTTATACCCAGTCACTGAAAGCACATACGTCAATGGGGAAATCTCCAATGCCATTTTTTTCTCGACATTCTTCGAAGGCTTCTTGACACACGACGAGTTGTATTCAAGCAATATCCGCTGCAAGGTCAGATGACATTCATATCACTTCTTAGGAATTAAGTGTTTCTATTTGGGATGTTTTCCATCACTGCAGGGAGTTGTCTGTGAAAGCCATCCTTACTCTCTTATTGCGAATTATTCATAAGTGCGAAACATTGGATGATTCTTACCCACCCTCACTTTGAATTCCTCATTGCTGTCACAATCCTCGAACAGGTCGGCTTCCACTGCTTTAGAGCCTTGGCTGAGGTTGGTAACATCACGACGGTCAATCCATATATTTCCTCGCGATTGTCGTTTGAGTGATCGGAGTGTAACGCCCAGTTGTATTTTCCGAAATATTGTGTTTTTTTAAACATTATACAGATCAGAAAATGTCGCGAGAAACTCTGAGATTCTACCGATTAAAAAATTCACGTTTGAGTATGAGACCAGGTAGTCTCACACACTTCTTCGTCTGGGTAAGCAATTGACGCATTCTTCTCAAACTGCTCACCATAGATGTTGTTAATTGATACATTCTTGATGCTCTTGGTGACATTGGCCATGGTTATAATGGTGAACAAAATGTAAGACTGAATTTCACTGCCATTTTGGCGAAATAATTTCCTTCTTTCTATAGCAAAGCATTTTGTGTATGGATAACAACACACAGTTGGTTGACTATTGTCCTCATGTGAGTCTGTTTTGTGGTTTTTTCAGCAATAACATTTGCACATACAATTAGCTTTATATATATCAGGCTTCAACCGTATTCCATCAATTAATATTATAACTTATTGAGGATTATACTTTTGCAAGTGTTCGCCTTTGTAATCTCACTTTATTCTGCTGTCTGTCTAATGACTGCATGAATAATTATTGACAAGAGGCATGTAAATATTCTGAAAGACGTCGGGAAAATTTGACTAAAAATGGCAATCAGTGGGTTATCGTGTTACATGTTGTGATTTGCACTAGTTTCATACCAGTTATTCACTGAAGAAAATATTTTTTGTAATATAACCTGCTGCTTTGTGCATGAAAGTCAGGGTGGCATCCACAGAATATATGCCGTTCCTCACATAAATGTATGCCTGAATTAAAAACGAAACTTTAGTCACAGTGTTAATTAAACCGGTATAACTTATTGCTTTTCAGATTGCTTAGAGCACTTCCAGTTCTAATTCTTGGATTACTCAAACTTCTTGGATATCGCCGTGAGATTGATCATTTTTCATCGCATTCACTGTAAGTGTTTTACCTCAGTTAACTGGACCGTTCAACGCACTACAAACAAAAGTCAAATTCCTGAAACTAATGCGGTGTTAATGAGCATTTATGAACACGGAAATAAACTTCGGTATGGTCCCATGATAATGTGTTTGTGTGAATGATTAAACACACATAGTTGAAGCTTTGAAATATTCAAGACGGTTTTAGATGATAAGGGATACAGCCATCACCACGACTAAAGTAAATACAATCGTCACAAAGAAATCAAGCAATTCAATGTGCAGTCGTCGATGTTTCTGTTTTTCTGAAGTAACACACTATGCAGGGTGAGGAGCTCAAAAGCAAATAAGTATATAAAAATTTCAGGACGACATATACATCACGCAACTATGTGAATCCAAGAACGTCTTATAATGGGAGTGAATTTCAGACACATTAGTCTTTATTGTTTGCGCGTTTCGACAACAATATTTCCATCGTTAGTCATCTTCTCATCGTACACCTGTCCATCTTATTCTTATTTCCAACTATATTTTCTGTTAGGTATCAGGAATGAAAAGTGAGACGTGCTTTAGTTTTGTTTGAATGGATTCACAAGTAATGGGAACTAATATTCAAGTGTTAGTTTGTAGGGATTGAATAAGTTGAGATACATGGGAGTATTGGACAGCTGTTTCGTCCTAGTTTGGGACTTATCAGCAGTACGCACCCACCCCCATGGTTCCAACTCAGGACATTCTGGTTACAAGGCCAGCTAACTCGTATATCATTAGGCCACTGGGAACCGACCCAATGGCCCATGAATTCTAACCACTGCCAATTCATGATATGGCGCAACCGCTAGCCAGTGTTTTGACGAGTATTTGTCCTCACACCTGACCTGCTGCACCCTACAGGTCGCGAATTCTCGCTATAATCCCAGGTCGCTAGTGAGCATCTCATTGTTGGTTTTTAGGGATTCGATTGGTTTACAGAATTTCATCATGATCTCACATTAGTTAGAGAACCACTGGAAAACCTGGAATAATGAACAGGTGTTTCGTCTTAGTTTAGGACTTTTCAGTGATACGCACCCACCGGGACTCGCAACTAAACCTCGCTTTTAATAAACTTGTGTGGGTGCAACAGCTTTACCTGTGTTTAAGAAGAATAAATCAACAAATGCTAGTAGAATTATCGTACTGCATAGTGTCTTTCGAAAGGGATGTGGATGTTTCAGTTTCGACCGTATTTAAACAACAAAGATATATCAAAATCCACTTCACCGATTTTTGAAAGCAGACAAACAGGAAGGTAGACTGTTTTAGGTTTTATTGAAGACACTTTCAGAGCAATAACGTCCAGTGCTGAAAAATATTTTTAATGTCATGGTATGCATTATAATTATTCATGTATTCATGTAGATATATATATCCAAATGTAGGTACGTTCTGCTAGATGACTTCAGTAATTGAAATGGTGATACCTAGCTAATTCATCCGTGCTGTCATGTATAGTTTAGTGGTTTAATGTTGACAACGAAAACTCATGGATGTAAATAAAAGACTCTTCACTAATACTTAAACATAATGATAAAATGTTATAATAGGACCCGGCAATCAACAAATCTGTCTCCTAATGATATGCACTTCATTATTATAAACTACCAATGCTATATTTTCTTTCATTTTAGTTCTTACTATGTTCGATGGGTTTCACTACCAGGTTCCATGCTATTGATTTGGTACCTGCTTTGGCAGCAGCTGGTTCGATGGTTACACTGACAGCACTTGTCATCTTCCTGGCTCTATACTTGAGAAATATACAACTTCGATCAACCATTATATTTTTCTCCCTTTTGTGCTCTTCGCTCCTGATTGGAATTATTCTATTCATTATTGCATTCAATTTCAAGAAACCAGAACAGGTAACACTGATCAAATGTGACAAGATATAAGCATAGACATTTGCAATTTTCGACTTGGTTTGTGATACTTTCATTGAGAATGAGGTAAGAAAAACACTTGACAGTCAAATGGGCGAATTGAATCACATTTTCTGAAACTCTTGAATTGATTTATGATGTTTTTAATGTGTATGAGAGGTTGTAATACTGATAACAAAAAAATATAGCAATTTACCACTGGAAGTCAAGTAGTTCCAATTTTACGGATCCTCGAACGTTAGGTATTATCGTCAGGATACTGCACACAATCCGTTAAATGATGGTGACACATACTTTGATTCCTTTATTACTCATGATGAGACTTGCAAATTTTCAAAATTACTTGTACAACACGTGACGGTAGTCACTGGAATTAACCAGATATTTTGAAACCTTTTATTGTGAAAATTTATAATATTCTAGCAGACACCCTACAATCAACTACGCAGATGGTTTTATCACAATGTTTGAGACACATCAACGTTGATTTACCATGCAAAATACGACATGACAAAGCAATCGTGAATGCATAATTAGGCAGATTACTAGGCATGTTTATCTAATCAAGTTGATGCATCAGTATAGGTATGAAACTTGGATATCATCAGTTCATCAACAATTTCATTTTCAGAAATCTGAAAATTTGATACTTCGATTTCTGGGATCTGAAAATCTCCAACTTCATTTTATGTATTTTAACAAATTTCTGCACCTTAACCTTCATTCTTCCAACAGATATTACGGATTTCCGTTGGGGTTTGCTTCAGTGTCGCCGTGGTGTTAGTAAGTTTTTTCCTCATGTATGCGTAAAACAATTAAAAATCTTTTCTCAATCTTCTCTTGAACAAGGTCAGTTAAGATTGCGACTCCAATGGAATATACTTAACTGATTTGTTCTTAAGATTCCACATTTACATTTAAGTTGAAAATGTGTTTATACCTTGACCATTTTATTGTGAAATTTCTGAATATGAACACTTTCAAATAGCACATTGCTCATTCTCTCTATCCATAAGACAGAAAAGTAAGTTGAAATAGAGAATAAATTGAGAAAATGAAGAGTGAATTTGTCAGCGTACTTAGAGAAAATGTATTAGTAGTTACTTGGTAGATTTGAATGAAGCGAGAAGAACAGTGGTGGTTTGTGCAGAATAACATGGTACCATCATTTATTTCGTTTGCTTCTCATCAGCTCAACTGCTTACAGCCTAAAGAAATTTTGAGGTTTAAGTACAGAAGCGTTTTAACATACTTGTGAATTTTACATGTTGTCAGTTGACAGGAAGTTCCACAATTAGTAAACAGTGCTCAGAAAATTGCGCTTATATAGTTTTCACACAGACAGATCAAGTTTAAACAAAAAAAATAAATGCATGGAAATAATGATAAAGGAGTTACGTATTAAAGATGAGATGTGCGTTAGATGCATACTGACTACTAAGTTATGTGACAACGCACTGAGTTGAACTGAAATCATAGATATAAGTGACAAGCAAAATTACAGATTATAATAAAGGGGTTGAGGTTAAAGACAAAGATTACGTAATCAGATGAGAGAAAAAAGACATCCAGTTACCAAGGCAAGGAAAGACTAATAACTGCTTCTTTCGGAACACACATAAATCTGGTTTCAACCGTTTGACAGAAATTGCTTCGGCAAACGTAAGGAGAATGGAGCTCCTTTGTCTATTGATAATTTTGAAGGATTTCTCGATTTCCACCTCATAACCTGTGTCGAGGAGATGTCTGGTAATAGCTCTACTATAAGAGTTTATTTCCTTGAGACGTAGGCTTTTCGGCACATGTTCAGAAAGTCGGAGCTGTGCCCTCCTTTCTGTTCTACCAATGTAACTGCTTCCGTAAATTTGTATAAACAGTTGAAGTTCACATGAGAAGGGTATCTATAGACCTTTGACTGTACCAAAGAGCATGTTGTTCAATGGACGGGAACCAACTAAGCTGCAGGATAGCCTCTGGTTAGTGACGTTGTCAGTCTTCTGTTAACCATTTCTGCAATGTCTTTACCTTTAAAGTCTAGTTGAATGAAGACAGGCTTTATTTTAACTGTGATTTGTTTGGTATTTGGGTCTTCGGTGGTGCGTCGGTGGCACAGTGGTTAGGACTCTCGCCGACCATGCACATGGTCCGGGGTTCGAGCCCGCACCGACGCACATCTGATATCTATGGTCGGCCTGAAAAATTTGGGCTACCGATATCCATGCTGAAAATTCTATACTTGTGCCGAAAATACAGTGTGGAATCAAGCTGTAAATCAAAAAAATAAAAAAAAAATACATATTTGTTAATGAATCTTTGAGGATAGCTGTTGTGTTGCAGCACTTTCTCGAAATTGCTAAATTCTTCCTCTAGTTTCTCTGCAGAGCATATCCTCCTTGCTCTATAGTGGAGAGTCTTGACTAGTGCTCGTTTATAGCTATTTGGACAAAAATTATTAAAATGTAAGTATTGTCCATTCCATGTAGGCTTTCGGTAGATCGACCTCTGGAGACTACCATCTTCTAGGCGTTTTATGGCGACGTCAAGGAAATGGAATTTTCCATCATTTTCATGTTTTGTAGTAAATAAAATATTTGTATGTGCGTTGTTGAATAGTCTGAGAAGGTAGGAGGCATGACTTTCGTTGTTGGATACTACAAATGTGATCAGTTTCTTGACAAATGATCTCAATGGTTTCATTGATTGGGATCATTGTGAACAAGGAAGTGGCATCAAATGAAGTCATGAACTTATTTGAAACGTTCATGTGATTCACGGCTAGCCTTTGGCGAATGGGTTCCAACTTCTCCGCAAGCCAACGGGCAACCCTTTGTTGGGGAGAGTTGATCATCGAAAGTGCAGGCCTCAGAGGAACTTCTTTCTTGTGTGTCTTTGGAAGGCCATACATATATGGCAAGCAGGACCCTAGGGGTTTCAATTCCTTGTACGTGTTGTTGGCAGATTCTTAGTACATCTTTCTCGTTTGCCTAGCTGGTTATTAATTAAATTGAAGGCCATATTTTGGTGTATAGCATTCAGTCTTGTGTAAATCAGCTTAGATATTGAAATATAAACACTTTTCTGAAAAGTGTACATTCAGTTTAGCTAATTCATGAAAATATAAATCTGGCAGTAATCATGTACTACTAATATTTAAGAATGAAATAGTCATCTGCTATAAGCAATAATGTTTTAACTGCAATTTATAAATTGTTTAATGTAACGTAATATTCTTATATTGTAGGCCATTTTCTTGACGGTGAATAGAATACGTTTATGCATCTCATATAGAGATGTGTACTGTACAATAATATTTCGAGCATTTTGTTCATGGTTGGAAATGCTTTTACTGTTTGCGGCGATGTATGCTCCTTTTGACAAATCTGAGGGATCGTGTTCAAATGCACAAGTGAACTAATATTTCTACACTGGTTATCAGATGTCATTTATGATAAATAAATATTCATAAATTTGAATCTCTTCTTCTTTTTGGTTCAGTCATATTCTATGGAAAATATTAGTCTAGTCCCCAGACATCGTCGAAGCATCTGCACAAGAAGCCGACATGTCAACCTGAGACCGAACACTTCGGTCCAATCAATCGACGGGAAAATCAAAAATTCAATTCAATAATTAGTCTAGTAGGTCTAAAATATCTTGTAGGTTGAAACCTTAGTGGATTTGTCCATTGGCAATCTGGTAAATATCAAGCACCTGCAGTTCAATGATGTGAACACGAAAAGAGGCATGCATGAATTAACTTTCAATGATGCATATACAAATATATATATATACTTTCATGGGTATACTCGTATATATATTCCTACGAGTTATTCATAAGATTTCTTCTAAAAATTAGATAGATGTTGTATGATGCCAAAGTTTTCACAAGGTATTTAGCACTATGAGTCTTTTTATAACTTCATTTTCACAGCATAACTCTCTTATGAAAAGTGACAACTCGTGGAGTCTATTATTTTCAAAATGAAATTGGTTAAAAACCTGGATATAAGATGTCATTATCTCAACCCATCGAATCTTACCAGTAATGGCTGCATTCAGCCACATCATATATATCTTCGAATCTAAGCACTGGAATCAAATATTCTGAGCTGTTTATTCAAGAAGGTCATTTCTAGCCAGTCTCGTGATCGTCATAAGGCCCTTATCTTGGATGTCAAATTCATCGTTTTCTATGCAGGCTTAACTCCAGGAATACCCTCAATCTTGAGTTCAGTTAGTGGTATACTCATGTTCTTTATAACCCAACAGCAATTTGTCGGCATTTCTATTGAAAAACAGATACAATTTTGCCTCCTTGCCTGAGTTCCTGCTTGCTTATTATCCAAAACCTCTGTCTTATTCAATATCCCTATAAGAAACAAGAAAGTAACTTAAATCTTCAAGCTTTCCAACTGTTAGACTAGTCGCAGAGACTAGTATATGTTGGATATCGCTTATGAAGTAATACGCATCGCAGATATTCCTACAGTGACTCAGTCTTAAGAAACATGGCTCAAATATATCTGTTTTTCTCAATGTTACTAGGAGAATTTTCATTTCTGTATGTTAACCGCATTAAGATAACTTTTCGTCATCATGGTAAACATTCACGTTATAAGTAGGGAAATGTTTACTGTGAATGAGCAACTTTGCTTTAGCAAATATTGGCAGATAACGCCACGGAATTTGAAATTACGGGGAATTAATTTCGCTGGATTATTCGTGTAAGATGAATGTTTGAACGGTCTCAGGACGACGCACTCTCTTTCATCGTTAAGCTAGTGATAACACTGTTAACAAAGAAAGGTTTAGCATGAGGCTAGGAACACCAACCTGTAAGAATAAATACCACCGCTACTGAAAATTCTAAGTTCTAGTTTGAAGCCTCTTTTTCTTCTGGGGATGTAAAGGAATTTGAAAACATATTTCAACGACTAGGAACATCAAGTCCAGCAGTCATTCACAAATGTGAAAGGATTATAAGAGCATTATTCAGCTTGCGTCTGAAATGATTTTGCATATTCGCTGGTAAAATTGGACGGTGGTTACTGAATTAGTTAACTGGACCATCTGTCAAGATGAATAAACTTTGGAATTCAGTAACAACTACTGTTTCAGATGACATTAAATATACAGTTGGCATCGCGGAAGATCTTTCATTATTTCTAAAAGGTTCCTTTTAAACCCTATTTAATACAGAAAGTACAAGCTCCTCAACCGTTTTTACATTTAAAACTGTTGAAGGAAATTCGAAAGTGAATTTCAACACCTGAGACTTTATAATTAGCATCTGACATCAATTTCTGATGGAATAAACTATTCACTGAATTCAGTGACCACCATGAAAATGATTCATTCATTCTCAGCAGCAGACATGGAGTGATTCTTGTTAGATTTCATTCAGCGGAATGCTTAATTTCTATTGTGAATGAGAGCTGACTGTTCATTTGTTTTTATGGGCCTAGCTTCTCATTAAGTGTTAAATTCAGATATCGACAACCATAGCTGGTCATATGATCTCATAATATCTTGGAACATGGCATAAGGAATAACATTTATAGGCACTGTTATTATAACATGAAAATGAAACATATTCTTCAGGAATCCCCATTGCTGCTTGCTATTCCATGATAAATCTTTCCCCATACATCATCCTGAAACCACCCTGACTTTGCAGTACAGAAGTAACACTTAATAAGGAAGTCCTGAGTGTGATATCATTGTCTTATGGTTGTTCGGCCTGCCATCCATGAAATTGTATCACTTATCGTATTAAGAGGGATTCATCTTATAGGTTTGTTCAAATAATTCCAACCGCAATGCAATCTAAATGTCGTACATGTAACAGCACATTGGCCTTATTATTAAAGCCTGGGATCACACTGTTCAAAATAGCATAAATTACCTGCAAATCATTAATTTATATTTAATTTGAAGGGGCAACAACACTCTAATTGAGGAGCATGTTTTCGTAATTCAGACAGTGATTTATTCTGTAACTGTTAATCCCTCCATCGACATCAATAAAATATGTAATATGATGTGCCAATCTTCAGTTAACTGAAATTTGTCTAATAATTGATGCTGAAATAAATTTCAGGGAGAATCACCGTAATTTGTCTGTTCACATTTGATTCACATTTCACTAACATGGTTACTTGCTATACAATATACAAAAAGACATCGCGTTTCTTTTCTGTTGGTTTACTACAACTAAAATGGTCATACAGGTAACAAACACCATCGTAGTTTAATGAGCATTGTTGAAGAAACTTTCACAGTCTTTCTTGAGCTACATTCTCAAAATATGTAAATATCAAAAAAATAAACGTGGATACTTCGTCCGCGTTCAGATTTCAAATATGTTTCATTTCTCACCATCAAGTCGCCTATATGATGAGTTGGGCATAGTTTTACACCTTTTTCTTCAAATGAACTGTAATTCGTCTATTTTGTTTGAAGTGAAACCACAGATGATCAATCACGTCACCTTTAGTGCTTTTTTTCTACTGTTTTCAGAGGTATATCGCAGATCATTTTGAGTGATTTAATAAATGACGTTGGTCACAAACTGTCCAATTCGGTAACATTTTCGGTCAAGATTTTATGACTTTCGTCTAAGTAACTTCTCTTGCCTTTTTCATAATGAAAATAAAAAAGACTTGTGGATTTACGTAAATTTATATAGACTTAGTCGCTGCTCGACAGCTGTTCCACATTTTACTGCGAGCTACAATAAAATGAAAAAACAATTTGCGCCTAGTGCGTGAGTTGGCAAAATAATTGTCTCCACTACATCAAAAACCGGACGTTTTCATTGAACATGGCGTGTTGTGAAGTCGGCGTTGCGTTGAATTAAAGACTACAGATTACAAATACATAAACTGAAGAACGAAAAGCCAGGGATTGTGAAGTTGGAAATAAAAGAAAATTACAACATGTGGTATCCAGTTATTTGACAGTTTAATCCTCCGTTCTGTGCTGTGAGTTTTCGGCGTACGTTAATAAGGGTATCTCACTCAAAGAGGGATTTGGTGGTTCTATATTATTGATGCAACTACTACTTCAGGTCGCTGAAGAAGAAAATACTGAATTATCATTGAACTGCATATGAACTGGCTTGAAATGGCGCTATTGTCAACGGTAAAATTCCATGTCGCATCTTCCTGGAAAGAATAACAGATGCATTCTACGCAGAATTCCCCCAGCCGGAACAAGCTGAAAAGTTAAATAGTGTGCTGATCAAATTTCTGTTCGACGCATCATCATCATAGAACAGCGCACAGAATGACACTCAGAACTCCACCTCAACCACATCAACTTCGAAAAGTCCTTCCACAAAGAGCGTTGACCGATAAGACATTTAGCAACTACCTCAGAACTATTGCGTACAGTGCTTGAATCCTTATCCCTCTGATGGCAATGGTACTTTCAGTTGATCCACAACAGAAAAGTCAGCGAGGAATTCAAAGTAAAGGTAGGATTGAAGCAAGATGGCCGCCTACGATCCCCGTTGATATTAATAATCGTGGTGGACTGGATTATGCGTCAGACTGTGCAGTTTGGAGACAGAACCGATAAGAATACTCCAGAAACTCTGGATTTCGTAGATAATATGTGTCGAATGTCACATAAACTCTAGCACTTAGAGGCAAAAAGCAATAAAGTGACAAAATCGACAGGAAGACAAGACAGGACTACATGTGAACATAGAGAATAAAGGAACAATAACCAGAACCAGTAGTCATACCAGATACACGAGTTGATGTCATTTCATGTTTCCTCTACACTCGCTTTAATGATTGCTTCACAATTATTTCACGTAAATCTAATTCAATGGTTATTTGAAGGTGATGGAATTATTGTGGATTATTTCTATACATCTTAAACAATATGTGTACAAATCAACAATAGACTTAAACCTTCGTCTCTAATGGAGCACATGACCTATTTAACTTTGACGTAATTGTCTTACGAATGGTTTCGTGGAAATTAACCTCACAGCTTCGGAATAATAGTAAGTTCCTGTGTGTATGAAGTAAGATGCTTTACTGCTTTCATTTTTCCAGTGTGATATTTTCAACGCAACAGATATGACATCTGTCAGATGAAAACGGTAAATGAATTTTTATTTATATATTAGTGAAACCTTTCAAAAATGGTACAAAATTTAATGAATAATGTTTACTTGTGAATCATACAACTAACCAAATTACCGAATACTCCTCAAACCAACTGTGTTCGCCGGAGACTTTCGAGGTGAT